ACATATATCTTTTTTATTGCGTTGTGTTTATATAAACTTTCTAAATTTAAATTTTATGTTAATTTAAAAAAAAAAATAAAAAAATAATTATAAAAAAAAATTATACCATTTTTTAAAAAAAATAAAATAAAAAAAATTTTAATATAGTAATAGTAGTGGAATAAATTATATTATATTAATTATTATTATTATTAATAAATAAAATAAATAATTTTTAAAATAAAAAAAAAATAAAAATTTTAAAAAAAAAAATAATTTTAAAAAAAATTCAAAAAAAATTTTATTTTTTTTTTTATTTTTAAATTTTTTTTTTTTTTTAAATAAATTATTATTGATTTTGTTTTCCTTCTACAACAAACACTCTCTCTTTTATATTTTTGTCTCTATATATAACAATTGTTGTTTGTGTTTTTTTTCTATATTTTTATTTTCTAATCTTTCTTATTTGTATATATATATAAATATTAAAATAGATTTATAATTTTTATAAAAAAGAAACAGTTTAGTTGCTTATAACATTGCTTATTTTTTATCTGTTTTATCATATTTTTTGCAATTTATCTTTTTTCATTTCAATCTTTTTTGTTTGTTTCATATATCATCCAACTAAAAAAGAAAAAAGCAAAATATTCAAAGAATATCATTTTTTAAATAAACAATAATATAATTATAATAACAACACAATTGCTAAATTTTCATTTCCTATATATAATATAATAATAGTTTTTAATGATACCATTCAGTAGAAGCTATTTAATAATAAACAATAGAAAGATATAACATTTAGTATATAATAACCGCAATAATATAAAATAACGCACATATAAATATTTCAATAAAACACTCACAACAATCGAATCTTGTTCAAATTCGATTTAATCTTTGTAAATAAACTCTCTCAATCTACTATCAGCATACCAAACAACAAACACTCTTTTCTCACTTTCACCACATAAAATCAAAAACAGCAATAATACCACAATGTCCGATGCACAATTACTATCATGTTTCAATAGATTAGAAAAGATTCTTAACGAAACCAAAATCTATACAAAATTAATGAATATTAACAAAGATGGATTAGCTCCAAATTATTACGACGAAGATGAATGTAGGTTATAAATTTTACACCATATAAAAGATAAAAAATAAAAGATAAAAGATAAAGATAAAAAAAAAAAAAAAAAAAAAAAAAGAAGAAATTGGATAGCATTAAAAAGAAAAGAAAAGAAAAGATTAGAATCAAACATACACACTATATATATTATTATTATTTTTTTCATCTCGTTTTTTTTTTATATTTTTTCTCAATACATTCAAAAAAGTAACTAACATAATATTTTTTATAGTATTATTTCCATTAGAAATAGGTCACGAGATGTACAATAAAACATTAAAAGTATATTTAGAATCAAAAGCTTATATAGAAGGAATCGAAAAGTAATTATTAAAATTTTAAAAATTAATGTGTAAAAAAAAAAAAACCTTTTGTCATATTAAAAATTTCTCACTGAAAATAATTTCAATTTAATTGAAAAATTTTTCAGATATTTTTAAAAAAAAAAATTTTAATTTTTTTAAAAAATATTTTTTAAATTTTTTTTTTTTTTTAAACCAAAATAAAATTTCATAATATTTTATTTTTCATATTAACCAAAAATTTTATTTATTTATTAAACAGATCTTTAAATAAATGTATCGATAAAATTGGTAAAAATGAAAAAGGGTCACACTTAATTAACCAAAATAAATTTAGTTCAAATTCATCATCAAATTCGTCCTCCTCGAGTGATGAGGAATCATCAAAACAAGAAATTGGCCAAAAAAGAAAATCAAAAAAAGTACCACCAAATTCCAAATTAAACAAGAGACTTAAACAGCCAGACACAAAAGAAGATATACCTTCCAATGCAACCACAACCACCACCACCACAACCTCAACTACAACCAAAGACCATAAAATTGAAAAGGATAAATCTGACAAAGAAGGTAAAGCCGATAAATCTGATAAAGAGAATGGTAGTCACACCCCATCCAAAGAAAAGGGTAGTCAATCAACCACACCATTAAAAGATAATAATGGTAATGGTAACAGCGCAAATGGTCAAATCCAACCAGGTCAATTGGTTGCCGCAAGAGACACAAAACTCCAATGGATTTTAGCTAAAGTAAATAGTTATTCGCCTAAAACTCAAAAGTATGAAGTTATCGATGAAGATGAAGATGAACCAAAACGTTTCTCTGTTGGTTCAAAAGATATTCTTCAATTACCAAGTCCAAATAATCTTCCACAAATTCCACTTCAAACTAAAGTTCTTGCTATGTTCCCTGATACTACTGCTTTTTATCCTGCTGTTGTTGTCAATGTTCATAAAGTTAAAGGTAAACCAACTCATTATCACCTTCATTTCGAAGATGACCAAGAAAATGGTGAAACTCCAAATAGACGTGTCAATGCTCAACATGTTATTCAATTAACTAAATAATAATAATAATAATAATAATAATAATAATAATAATAACAATAATTTATTTTTATAATAACAATAATAACAACAATATATTTTATAATATTATAATAATAGTTTGAAAAAATTTAACCAATTCATTTTTTTATATTATTTATTAAATTTTCATGCAGTTCACCCCCAAAAAAAAAATCACAACCACAATCGAATTTCTTTTTATATTTTTTTCATTCATAATGAAATAATATAGTTTAGAAATAAAAAACCCTCTGTAAATTTTCCAATTTATCTTTTTTCTTTTTTTTTTTCATTACAAAAAAAAAAAGAAAAAAGAATTTTAAAAAAAAAACATAAAAAAAATAGAGAAAAATATAAAAAAAAAACAAATAAATAAAAATTTAATTTAAAAAAAAAACTATTTTGTATTTACTTAATAATCTGTAAATTTTAATCAGAAATAATAATTGAAAATATATTATAATTAAAAAAATAAAAAAAAATTTCGTTAATTTTTTTATTTTTTTTTTATTTTTTATAATTTTTTTTAAAATTTTTCATTTTTATAAGAACTATTATTGTTTATTTTGTACATATATAAATTTAATATAAATAATAATACCAAGATGTGTCAACCAGCTGTAGTAACACTTACAAAACCAACTCTCCATGTATATATAAAGTTTTTTTGTTCTTTTTTGCCACATGGCAAATCTATGCATTATATTAATTATTAATTTCTTCTTCTTATAGATTTACAGAGATTGTTTAAGATTAGCAAAATATATAGGTGAATTTGTAAATATATATCAATTTAAATTGAGCGAATATATAAACAAATATTAATATTAATTATTTTTGTACTAATATATTAATTACAATCATACAGAATGGTCATAGCAACAATATGATGAAACAAGTTGGTTTGGTTTTTAGATCAAACAAACTCGAAATTGATGATAAGAAAATAAATGAACAAAAAACAGAGTACATATTAAAAAACATTAATTTTAGATCTTCGATATAATTTTGGGTAGTTTAAATATTTTATTACAAGTAACTAATTAAATATATTATATTTTTTTATATAGTGCTATTCGTTTCTTAACCAATTTTATGCAACACGAAGCTGAAAGAATGGCTAGAAACCAAAAGAAATCAGAAAAAGAATCAACTGCCACACCAAGAACTAAAGCAACTCTTGATTAAAATAACTATGCATCAATATATACAAACACCAATAAAAAAACTATTTAAACTACAAATAATTATTATTATTATTTTAATTATATTTATTTTTTTATAATCTTTTTTTATTATTACTTTTTTTTTTTTTTATTTTTATTTTTTAAAATTTATATAAATTATTTATTATTTATAAAGAAAAATAGTATAGTATAGTATTATCATCATCATATTATTATTATTATTATTATTTGAATTGTTTATTTGTTTTGTGGGTTGGCAATAGCATTAAAGAATTTACTTGGTCTATACATTCTAGAAAGTCTAATTAATTTTTCTTGGATTGGAGTGGCTTTAACACCAAAATCTTTTAATGTTAAAACGTCTTTCTTTGGAACAACAACTAAATCTTGGTTGTGGTAATCGATTTCATCGACAATGAAATTTGGATCACGAGAGAATTGTTCCATTGGTCCAGCAACCATTTTCATAAATTCGGTTGATACTGGTAAATTTAATCTATCATATTGAGCTGTACCTTCAATGATCATATCTAAAAATTGGTCCCAAGTGAAAGTTTCATCACCAGCAAATTCGCAAGTTTTTGCAACAGCTTGTGGGTTTTCAATGGTACTTAAAATACCTTTAGCAAAATCGGAACACTGAATGGTTAAGAAAAAAGAAATAAATAAAAAGATTATTAGTCATAAATAATAATGGTTGCTTTTAAACATAAGATATACTTACATGTAATGGTTGGATTTTATGTTCAGAGTTAAATCTTGGGATGAATGGCCAGTTTTGAGAAACTTTGGACCATTTATTAATAAATCTATCTTCATCACCAAAAATAATGGATGGTCTTACAATGGTGGCTTTTGGGTTGTGTTTTCTGCTAACTTTTTCACCTAAGGCTTTGGTACGAGCAAATTCTGATGAGGCGTCTTCTGAAGCATTTAATGCAGAGACGTAAATATATCTATCAACATTTTGACTTATTCTAGCAATACGTTCAGCAGCATCAACATTGATGTCTTGAAGACTAAAATTACGAGTATCATAATTACGACCAGCTAAATTGATAACAATATTTGAATGTGAAATAGCTCTTTCAATTGATTCTTCATTTCTAATATCATAACGAACTGGAATAATTTGACCTATATCACCTAATACTTTAAGATCACGGAAAGTCCAATCTTCACCTCTGTATGGAACAACAACTTGAACACCTGTACGAGCGAGTGCTTGAACAATATATCTACCAGTAAAACCAGTTGCACCAAAAACTGTTGCAACTAAAGGAAAATGAGATTTCTCTAAATCCAAAACTTTAAATTGATCAGTAGTGAAATTTCTCTATAAAAAAATAATTTTTATAAAAAAAAAAATTAATATATTTAAATTTCTGATTATTTTTTATATTATCATAAATCATTTCCCAATTTCATCATAATCATAAATATTGTTGTTATTGTTATTCTATTGTTATAATTATTATCAATACTATTATTATCAATACTATTATTATTATTGAACCATATAATAATTATTATCATTATTTTTGAGACTGTTAGAATAACTTTAATTTGGTTATCTTTTAGTATTGTTATTATTATTAGGTATTGCTTATTAAAATTTGTTGTTAGTTGTTAGTTGAAAGTCCAAATGTTTAACCTAAAAGGCTTGAGTCAATTGATAGTTTGAGAGATTGTCGCTAATGATGAGAATGATGAATTGGTTTCCTAATAATGATTTAATCTATATCGAGCTGAATGATGAATACCTTGTTTGCAAAGGATGGTAATTTTCTGGCAAAATTTTTGAGCATTTTTTATTAATAATAATTGTTTGTGATTGTAAAATCAAAACACTTTAAAAAAATAATGTGAAAAATGAAAAATATAGAAAAAAAAATTAAAAAAAATTAAAAAAAATTTTAAAAAAAAAAAAAAAAAAAAAAAAATATTTTTTAAAAAATATTTTTTTTATTTTTTTTTATTTAAATAATTAATTTCATTGTGTTTATTTGATTAAACCACACTTCAAATATTTCCTTTTTTAAACAATAGATAAATAAATAAATAAAAAATGAAAAAATAAGAAAATTAAAGAAAAAATTATTTTGTTCAACATTAAGATTTTTTATTTTTTTTTGGTTATTGGTTGTTACAATATGAATCCCAGTCAAAATTTAACACTTTTGGAAAGAGTGATTTAAAATCATTAAACGAGCAATAGTAATCATCACACCCTGGTACTAGTATTGGAGATTCGTTATGCTTAACTAATATTTTAAAATCACTGTTTTGGCCATTTCCACAATCATATAAAAACATTCCAATATTTGTTGCATATGGTACAATTAAACTGGTTTTAAACTTTCTATTTTTTATTTGTTCTAGAGTTGAATTTGCATAAATATGATAGCCATCTTTAAATAAACCTAATAGTGACATGAATGGAACAAGGGTTTCGCTATGACCAAATCTAAAAATATTTTTTGGATTACTATTTTCATTTTTGTCAAATTCTTCCAATGGTCCTTCATCTTTGATATCCTTTGATGGTAGTGGTTCTTGTGATTCTTGTGGTTGTTGTTGTTCTCGTTTATTTTGTTGTTGTTGTGGTGTTGTTGAATTGTTTTGAACATTATTTATAATATTGTCAAAGTGATTGAATATATCTTTTAATAATAGGGAGCTGATTTCATAGTTTATATCATTTCCATAGCCATTGACCCAATAGGTACTTAAATCTTTTGCATATTCCCAATCTAAAATATTCTCTTTACTTAATAAACTACAAAATTGATCTGATATATTATCGATTGCGACTTGATAAACACACGATAAGAAAATACTTTGTACAATTGAATTGGATGGTAACCATTTACCACTTAAACCTAAACGTTCTGATATTTCTCTAGCGATTAATGGATATTTCATTTGTTTCCAAATTGCTTCCTCATTTTCGCTTATTGAACCATCCTTTAATTTATCCGTGTATTTTTTACAGTTTAAAAAAAAGCTTAATAAATTATCATTTTCTAAATTTGATGTTTGAATATGAACAGGTTGAAAATTTCCGGGTAGTTTACCAGTTCCTTCAAAAAGGCCATATGAGAATGATGAAGCACTAACTCCAGTTCTTGGTATAATGGTGGATGATATTTTATAAGATTGAGGACTATATGGTGTTTCAAAATAGTTTGGATGTTTCTCTAATAGTCTCTTTGAAATATTGTAGTGTTCTATATTCCCCAATTCAATTAAATTCCCTGCCAATTCTCTTTGATATGGAATTTCGTAATTTCTTAACCATTCAAATTCTTCTCCAACTATTAATGATTTGATCTTTTGAATTTCTTTTTTTAAACTATCAAATTTATTTAAAATTTTAATTTCTGGGTATCTACTGCCATGTCTTAAAACTATATCCATTGAAACTAATTTACAATTTGGTATTGGATTAATAAATGAGTTACTATTATAAAATCCATTTGTGTGGTATGGTGTTTTGGTTGTTAAATGTTTATTTAAAAATTCAATATCATAGTTTTGTTTAAAGTTTATATATTTATTATTAATATTATTATTACTATTGAAAATATTAATATTTTCTTTAGTTTTTATAGAATTTGAAGATAGTATTATTGGCACAAAAATAAAGTAAAATATAATTTTGAAAACTATAATGTTGTTTATTTTCATTATTATTAGAGTGATTATAAATAAATAGTATTTGATATTTATGAATATTTCTATTATTTCTTTTTAATGAAAAAAAATAAAAAATTAAATGTTTTTTTTTTATTTTATTTTATTTTATTTTTTATTTTATTTAAATCCTAAATCCACAACTTAAGAAAAATGTGGTTTAAAATCCAATGGGTGGTAAATGTAAAAAAAAAAAAAAAACCAAAAAAACCAAAAAAATAATATTATAGATCTTTGTTTAATTTTATTTTGTCTTTAAAAGGTAATTTTTATAATTTTTAAAAATTTTATTTTTATTTTTTTTATTTATTTATTTTATTTATTTATTTGTTGTCAAAATATTTACAAAATTATTGTCGTTTCTTACCTTTGCCAGAATTTTTAATAAACTATTGGCATTTTTCTTTCTTTTTATTATTTTTTTATTATTTTTTTATTATTTTTATTGATAATGAATTTGAAAAATAAATATTAGGTATTAATCTTAACTCTTCATTAATTCAAATATTATTTAAATGATGAGTAGATTCAAGTGAATATTTTAAACAAGTATTAATTTTCTCCCTGTTATAAAAATAATAATTTTTATGATTAGTAAAAATAAAATTGTAATTATTAAAAATAAATTATTTATTTAAATCTTTATTAAATAACAATACATACCCTTCTAGTACTAAAAAAATTCTAATAAAGTTTAAAAAAAAAAATAACTTTAACCTAAAAGTTTATACATTATTATTATTTATTATTATCTGCAATACACATATTTATGTTTTTTTTAAAAAATAATTTTATTTTTTTAAATTAAATTTTTTTTTTTTATTTTTATTTTTTTATTTTTTATTTTTAATTTTATTTTTTTTTAAATTTTTAAGCTTTTTTGGTTTCATAATTTTGTGCACCCCATGTCTCATTTTTTAAAGATTAAAGGTTTAATTTATTCATAATAATTTTGTATAAATGCAAAATTTTTTTTTATTCTTCTTTTAATTTAATAAACATAAAACAATAAATATAACAATAAAATAGAATATATATAAAACATGGTTCAATTATATATTAGACAAAAAATTTTTTCAGCTTCGGATAAATACAAGATTTATGATGAGTATCAAAGAGTGGTTTTTCAATGTAAATCAAAGATATTATCGTGGGGAAGTAAAATTAAAATGTATGATGCAAGTGGTGAAAATTTAATTTATTATATAAAGGAAAAAATTAGATTTTCATTTTATAGAAAGTATTATATTTACGATAATGTTGGCAACGAAATATGCTGTATTAAACAAGATGCATTGATTAAACCAAAGTTAGTTATAAAAATGTCTGATGGAAGTGACGAGTTTGATATCAAGGGTAATTGGTTGGCTTACGAGTTTTCAATTTTAAACGATAAATTACAAATTGGTAGTGTTAGGAAGAAGGTTCTCTCTTGGGCCGATACCTATAATTTAGATATAAATGATTCTTTTAATCCTGCCTTATTTGCCGCTTTTGTTATTGTGGTTGATACATGTTATCATAATAATAATAATAATAATTAAAAATAAAATTTAGAAATAAAATAAAAACTTTATAGTCAAAATAAAATAAAAAAACCAATAACACTCCACCACAAACACACCTAAATTTTCAAAAAAATAAAAATAAAAAAAAAAAAAACTTTAATAATAAAATAAAAAAATAATAAAAATAATAAAATAACAATATCAACAATAGACAATAAAAACAGTAGTAATAATAATAACAATAATACAAATAACAATAACAACAATAACTTTTAAATTATAATAGTATTTATTTAAATTTAAAAAATAAAATATATTTAAAAAAAAAAAAAATGGTTAAATTCTTTATTAAAGCTAATTTTCTATCAAAGAAATATTCAATATTTAATGAGGAGGATAATTTGGTTTACACTGCCGAATCGGACAGTTTAATTAAAGCAAGAGTTAGATTATTGGATACCTCGAATCAACTATTATATTATATTAAAAAAACATCGGTATTTCCAATTAAAAGAACATTTGAAATATATCAAGATAACAAACTATTTGCCATTACAAAGCATAGAATAGGATGGTTAAAAGAAAATTATTTAATAACTTTAGTAAACAATAATAATAATAATAATAATAATAATAATATTCAATTAGAACCAAATCAAGATGCAAATGAGGATTTTGATAATAGTAGTCTATCATTCAAAGTTAGAGTAAATGGGAGAGAAAGAGACTATATAATTTTAAACGATGATTCATTACAGGTTGGAAGTGTCAAGAGAAAGCATGTTAAATTCAGGGATACTTATTATATGGATATTTCTGATTTGCTTGACCCAGTGTTCTTTCTAACCATCGTAATCATTATGGATAAATGTAGAGATAAAAGAAGAACCTAAAAGATGGAGAACTTATGCAATTTAATTCCGATATTTTTTTTTGTAAATTAAATAAATAAAAAAATGTACAATTGTATGTAAAGTAAAGTTATTTTTTTTATTTATTTTTTTTTAATTTTATTTATTTTTATTTTTAACACACATTTTTTTTTTTTTATTTATATCTTTTAAAATATTATTTATTTAATTATTTATATATTTATTTTAATAGTATATCTTTTTTATATAATTATGGTACAGTTATATATTAGGCAGAGGTGCTTTCAAGTTGCAGAGAAATATAAGGTTTATGACGAAAACCAAGGTGTTGTTTATTGGTTACAAGCCAAGCCATATAGTTTAGGTGCTAAAATTAAAATGTATGATGCAACAACAGACAAGTTAATTTATTATATAAAGGAGAATGTAAAATGGTCACTTCATAGAGCATATGAAATATTTGATGATCAAAAGCAATTGGTTTGTACTGTAAAATCAACATCTCTTTTAAAGGCAAAGTTCGATATTGAAATGAATGGTTTGGATTCCAACGGCGAAGCTGAAAAGTACGAAGTTAAAGGAAATTTCAGTGCATTACATTTTGAATTGTTAAATGACAAACTTCAAATAGGTAAAGTTGAAAAAAAAATAGTCTGGTGGGGGGAGGCTTATATTTTAGATATCCATGATTCTTTTAATCCTGCTTTGTTTACTGCAATGGTGGTCATTATCGATTCTTTTATTGGCGGTAATAAAAATAGTGGATTTGGTAATGGAATATAAAAATATAATATTATTTCAAATATTTAATAATATTACTTTATTTTAAATAGTAGTGGTTTAAATCTAAATAAATATTAATTTTATAATAAAATAAAATTAATTATAATAATAAAAATAAATTAATTTTTTTTTTAATTTTAAATTTTAAAATTTTTTTTTTTTTTTAAATTTAAAAAATTTTTTATAGTAATTTTTTATTTTTTTTTTTGAAATTAAAACTATTTGTAATAACAATCGGAATTATGATAAAATAAAAGAGATAAATAATAATTTAAAATAAAGTATATACAATAATTTTTTTTTTTCTTTTATAGAATATTTATATATAAAGAAATTAAAATGAAAACTGTATTTTCAAATAAAGTATTTTCAATTAAATCAACTATTATAGTAATAATTTAATTTTATTTATTTTTAATTATTTTTTAAAAAAAAAAAAATTTTAGAAAAGTTATTTAAAGGATGATTTTAAAAATTAAATAATCATTAAATCATAAATTCAAATATTAAACAAACAAACAAATAAAAAACTTATTAAAATATAAATATTAAAATATAATAACAAAATGTCAAACTCAGTTCACCCAGGAGATAAATCACAATCATATTACAACGCTACTAAAGATGCCGCTGTAAATACTTATAATGCCACCAAAGATGCCGCTGTAAATACATACGAAGCTACTAAAGATGCTTTAAATAATGGAATTAATTATGTAGCCGAATCAATTCAACCAGTCATCGATAAAACCAAAGAAATGGGTTCAAATGCCACCAATTCTCTAAGTGAAGGCTACGATAGTATGATGCACAAAACATCCGAAATGATGACACAAGCAAAACATAACACCGAAGAGACAATGGAGAAATGCGAACATTGGACAGAAGAACAAAAGGATGCATTCTGTGATAAATGCAAAGAATTAAAAAAACAAGCCGACAACGCCTCTGAAAATGCAGGAAAGAATATTAAATCAACAGCAAATGATTTCAACGATAAAATGAATGAGGCTGGAAAAGAAATTAAAGATAAAACAAATGAATTATCAAAAGATACTAAAAATGCATTTAACAACGCAGGCGATAAAATGAACGATGCCGCAAAAGATGCCAAAGATAAAACCAACAGTTGGGCTCAAGATATAAAGGAAGCTACCAATGATGCAGCCGAAGATGTCAAAGATAAAACCAATGAATGGTCAAAAGATGCCAAAAACGCTCTTAATGATGCCGGTGATAAAATGAATGATGCAGCCAAAGATATCAAAAAGAAAGCTCAATAGAAAATATTAAAATATCAATTTTTTTCCTTTTGTAAATAATCATACATAAAAAAAAAATAAAAAAAAAATAAATAAATAAAAAAAATCAATCTTTTAAATATACATATTTTTACCTATAAACTAAATTGTTTATTTTTTACTATATTTAACAACCATATGTTTTATTTTACATCAGATCGAAATGGGGGCAATTTTAAACAAATAAATACCATGAAAAATAAATCATGGTTAAAATTATTTTTTAATTTTTTCAAAATCTATGATATTTTAAAAATATCAATTTATAAATAGATTTTCACAATTATTTATTTATATGTTTTTTTTTTTTTTGTAACATTTTATTTTTTTTGAAATCTTTAATCTATTAAATTTTGTAGTTTTTGTTTTATCATATTTTATGATTATTTATTCGCATATATAAATACACATAAATATAGATATAAAAAAAAAATAAAAATGTGTAATTTTTGTGTGGATGTGTGTGAGAGGGTTAATGTGCAAGTGGGGTTAAGTAAAATTAACATTTTTATTACACTAACTACCACCAACACAAACAACTAATTTATAAATAAAAAAAGAAATAAAAGATAAATTTTTTTATTATAATAAAATATATTTTTATTTTTAAACTAAATATATATATACTATATGAGAAATGAATATATTTTTAAATCGATAAAAATATTTAAAAATTTGGTAAAGATAAACAACCAAAAAAAGATAATTTTTTTTTTGTTTATTTTTTTTTTTTGCTTGTGTATTTTTTTTTATTATTTCTTCTTTATTATATTTTATTTTTTTATAATTATAATTATATAATGTATTACTAAAAATATTTTATTTATAAAAAAATATTTTTTTTTAAAAAAAAAAAATGATTAAAAATTTTTTTTTAATTTTTATTTTGTTAAGCAATTTATTTATTTTTGTTAAACCCTCAAGCAATAAAAACAACTCTGCTAATCAGTTATCGATACCCAATTTACAAAACAATAATTTAATAACCAATAATCAAGTAACAGACAATCTACAAAATTTTTCAAACAACACCTTGTGGGGTGATAAGGGATTAATACCCTCAATCAATGATAATGTTAAGATAGATTCAGGTTTTAATATAATATTGGATAAAATTTCAATAATAAATAGCTTAATAATAAATAAAAACTCTTCACTATTAGTTAAAGAAAACCTTTTTATTAGCGACAATTTAAAAACCGAAAATGGTTCATCATTCATTTTAGATTCCCCCAATTACGAAAATAGTATTATTAATGTTGGTGGTGATGCCACTTTTATTGGTAATATATATGTTAATACATTTTTTAATTTATTTACAAACAAAACAATTAATATTTATGGAACACTAAATTTAAGTAGGTATTCAACAATTAACATAATTAATAAAAAATAAAAATATAATATAACTAAACTTACTTAATCTGTATCATTTATATTTTTTAAAAAGATGGTATATACTTTGTAAATAGCTTCACAAAATTATCAGGACATCAATATGGATCCTATGGATCAGTTATAGACTATAGAAACATTACAGAATTTTATCAAAACTCTCAAATTATGGACCATGGTTTAGTTTTAATAAACCCAGCTTGTGACTTGCTATTAAAGAGCTCAGCATTCACTTTTATTAGCTCTAAAATGGAAAACAATGGAAATAATTTAATTTCAGTAGATAATAGTGGACTAATATTAAACAACTCCTCAATCGAACTTTCAAATGTAACCATAGATTTAAAACAAGATAGTATGATCAACTGTAATAGAAATTCATTTATAGAAATAAAATCGAGTATTTTCAAAAAAAATAACTCATCATTCGTAGTACAGCATAATTCAAAGTCATTACTTTTAAATACAGATCTAAGGTTTTATAACATGTCTCAAATTTTATTATATAACGACAGTACATTAGATTTCACCAAAGGAACAATGCAACTTTTTGACTCGTATTTAAATATTTATAATGGATCGGTTTTAACTTTAAATGGCGAATTAGAATCATTCAAATGTTATAATAAATCATCAGTAGAAATATCTCATCTAGGAACCTTTATTATTAAAGGTCAATTAAACCTATTTGATAGTAGCTCCATCAAGTGTAAAAAAGGTTCCATTTTAACCATCAATGGTACATTGGTTCATAATCAAAACTCATTCATAAATTCTACTTTGGCCGATATAAACCTGTTTGGTGACTTACTTTTAAAAGATAAATCATTTGTGCAATCAGATAGATCAAATTTTAATATAATGGGCAATCTTATATTGGAGGACAATTCAACAGCTTTAAAATTAAAAAATTCTACATTTCTAGTACCTGGATCAGTCATTATTAAATCCTCAATGCTATTAGATAGTTCATATATGTTTATAAAAGGTAATTTCATTTCAAATGTATGTATAACTATAATTTAAATTATTTATTTTACTAAGTTTATTAAATGTATTAATCAATTTATATTTTGTGTAACAGAATAAACTACCTTCCAATTTTACAAACTCTAGAATAAATGTTAGCGGCGATGTAAAATTAAATGGTGTTTTATCATTTAATAGAACAAATATAGTGACATATTCGAATTTTTTAATTAGAGGTGAAATTATTGGTAATAAGATGGATGTTCAGTCATCTGGTCATTTTGAAGTGGGTAAAAATGCCTCATTTTTATGTAACCAATGCATCTTAGACATTAGTTTGGATGGTGAATTCGTTTATGACTCATTTTCAATCATTAAATTAAATGCAACAAAAATTAACAATAGAAAGGGTATAGTTAGAAGTTTTGGTACAATACATATTATCCGAGGCTCATCCATAGATAACACAGGTACTTTTGAACATAGCTCAAACATATTTTTTGGTTTGTCACCCAATGGAATGCTAAAAGATAATAATTTAAATTCATCATCGGAAGAGTATGAGTTTATAGAAAAAGCCATTATTAGTAATAAAGGAATATGGAGATGTATCGAAAATGAAGCAAAAGATGACAATGTAATAGAATTACCATTCTACAACAATGGGGATTTAGAAATCCACGGAACATCTCATACAGAATTTAAGTATCTTCATCAAGAAAAAGGCTCTATTAATCTATTAGATGGCGGCTCTATTGGATCAAATACTTCAATTCATTTAAATTATGGTTCAATTTTGGGAAATGGTACTATACATGGTAATATCAATAGTAGCAATGGTGAAATTGGTCACCTATTCGAACTAAATGATCTTTTAATCAATGGTAATTTACATTTTAATAGTAACTCTTCAAGGATTGTAATCAACATCGACCATGACCAATCATTCTCAAAGATCCAAGTTAATAAAGATATAGTTTTAAATCAAGGTGGTGCAGAACTGATTTTTGTTATTCACCAAGAAATGACTAGATCTGGAGAACTCGAATTTTTAAGATACAACCAAATAATGGGAGGTGATTTCGATAAAATTAGATTCCTTATTTACGATCCTATAACATTAACAACTAAACATCAAAATGATTTAAATGATATTAATGGCTGCAATGCATTCATCAAAAAAGGACATAGATCTCTTTCTCTACTCTTCTCAAGTTGCACACCCAAAACCCTTCAATTCTATTATAAATATATATTTTTATCTACATTCATGGTTCTATTATCGGTTGTATCATCAGTAATAATATTAAAAAGACATTTTATAAAAACTAAATATATGTATTGGAGAGATAGATCCAGGGAATCAAGATATATCAAAAGAAATAATAGTAATAACAGTAATAATTAATTGTAATATTTTATTTATTCACTTTTTTTTATACTATAATTAGAAAATAAATAAAAAAAAATAAAAAAAAATAAAATACTATTTATATTTATAATCGAATTAATAATATTTTTTAAAAATATCCAAATATCTTCCTTTTTTTAAAATTTCTATTTTTTTTCTTTTTTTAAATTTTTTGAATTTTTTTTTCATAAAAATGTCATTAAATAATTATGTATATTTTTTCAAAATAAAATTGATATCTTTTTATAAAATGTAAAGAGGATTATGTCATCAGTTTTATGGTCGAAAAAAAAAACTATAAATGTTTTAAAATTAGTTTTTTTATTAATAAACAAACAAATAAACAATCAATCAAATAAAAAAACGAATAACTAAATAAATAAACAAAAAACAATGAATTATTTAAATAAACTTTCAATTAGAAGCTTAACAAGATTAGCTACAAAATCATATAGACCCCCACATGTTTTCCAACAAAGAAATTTTTTTAGAATCATTAATGAATATGAAAAAGGTGTTATTTTTATTTTAGGTAAATTTTATAAAATTAAAGAACCAGGTTTCAGAATTGTTTTTCCATTTATTCAAACATGTGAAATTGTAGACTCTCGTTTACATTCAGAAACACTCGATAAACAAGAAATTATCTCAAAAGATAATATATCATTAATTGTAGATGCTATTGTTTTTTTTAAGGTAAATAGTAACAATAGAAGCAATTTTAAAAGTAATAGTTTACTAAATATATTTTAAAAATAACAATAGGTTAGTAACCCAGAGTTTTTAATTAATAGAGTATTTGACCCAAGAAAGATCATTCAAGAGTTTGTTCAAATAAAAATCCGTGAATTATTATCAAATAATACCCTTCAAGAAATTTTAGTTAATCGTGAAAAATTTTCAAATGAAATTTATGACTCTGCTGCAAGTTTATCATCGTGGGGTCTCAAGGTTGAAAGAGTTAATTTAAAAGATATCAAATTTGAAAACTCTATTGTACGAGCAATGGCTAAAGTTGCAGAAGCTGAACAACTACGTCAATCAAAACTAATTCATGCTCAATCTGAAGTGCAAACTGCTGAAAAGATTCTTCTTGCTGCAAATATGCTTGAAAACAACCCAGTTGCAATTAGAATAAAAGAATTAGATATTTTATCACAAATTGCCAAAGAGCAATCAAATACTATTGTCTACATTCCCGGTACAGTATTTGACAAAGTTCCAAAAACTCAAGATGCAATAGTAAATCTTGCTAATAACTAAACCCACCCTTTATTAAAAAAAAAAAATAAACATATTTACCGATTTTTTCCCACATAAAAAAAAAGAATAAATAATCTAAATAAAACTATAAAAATATTGTTTTTTTTTTTTGTAATATAAATATTATATTACTACCAAATAAATAAAATTTATTAATTTAAATATCTTTATGTTGATCATGGATTTTTTGAGCTCTACCACTGGCATCGGTAGAAGTACTCCATTTTGGAACCCAATGTTGAACAGTTTCTCTACATTCTTTTCCTGGGAAGAGTTGTTCGAATAATCTACGGTAGAGGAAAGCTTCTTTAGTATCTGGGGTATCATCTGGGAAATAAGTTTCCCTTTTAGCAAATTCTTCATTTGTAATTTCAGATTCAGCATATTCCTTTAATCCATCAATCCAGCTATAACCAACACCATCTGAAAATTGTTCTTTTTGACGCCATAAAACTGAATCTGGTAAATATGGTTTTTCCTTGCTTTCGAATGCCTTTCTTAAAATGTATTTTTCCATTCTCTTTTTACCTTCAGCATCGGTACAAACTTTATGAGTTGGTGAAACAGACATAGCAGTTTGGAGGAAACCTTGATCTAAGAATGGAACACGTACTTCAACACCCCAAGCAGCAGTTGATTTGTTGGCTCTAAGACAATCGAATGAATGAAGAGCTTTAATACGACGAACACATTCGCTGTGGAATTCATTGGCATCTGGAGCGTTGTGGAAGTATAAATAACCACCAAAGATTTCATCTGAACCCTCACCTGATAAAACCATCTTTACACCCATAGCTTTAATTTTTCTTGATAAAAAGTACATTGGAGTTGAAGCTCTAATTGTAGTGACATCGTAGGTTTCTAAATGTTTAATAACATCAGAAAGAGCATCAATACCTTCTTGAACGGTAAAGTTATATTCGTGGTGAACAGTACCAAGGAAGCTAGCAACTTCACGAGCAGCTTTAAGATCTGGGGCATCCTTTAAACCAATACAGAATGAGTGAATTCTTGGCCACCAAGCACGTGATTGTTCGTGATCTTCAATTCTTTTTTCGGCGTGTCTGCTAACAATACTTGCAACTAATGAAGAATCTAAACCACCTGATAATAAAACACCATATGGGACATCACTCATCATTCTAGAGACAACAGCTTTTTCAAAAGCATCTTTAATTAATGGAAGTACTTGTTCTTCAGTGCTTGGTTGTGGCTCAGCACCCATAATCCAATCTGGTTTATAATATCTAACAAATTCTTTAGTTTTGCTTGAATAATAGAAACCTGGTGGAAAAGCTTCGAATCTATAACAATCATCTTTTAATGCTTTCATTTCTGATGCAAACCAAACAGCACCATCTTTGCTCCAACCAATATATAATGGAACTATATAAATTTAGTATTTAAAAAATAAACAATTAGTTAAAAAGTTGTGAAATATTTAATATTAACTATTATACATACCAACACCAATTGGATCACGAGCAGCTAAAAAAGTGTTAGCTTTTGAATCATAGACAACAAAAGCAAAATCACCGTTGAGTAAATGTACAAAATCATCACCTTTATCTTCATAGAGATGTAAAATTGGTTCACAATCACTGTGGGTTTTGAATGTGTGTTTACCGGTGGCAATTAATTCTTCTCTTAATTGTTCGTGGTTATAAATTTCACCGTTGACAGTAAGGGCAATAGTTTCATCTTCGTTTAATAATGGTTGAGCACCGTTTTCTAAACCAACAATAGCTAAACGTTCGTGGGTAAGAACTGAGTCTTTAGTTTGGAAAATACCGTTCCAATCTGGGCCTCTATGTCTAAGTCTTGATGATAATGAAAGAGCTTTCTTTCTTAATTTGCTTGGATCTTCTAATGAGTTTAAAATTGCTAAAATACCGCACATTATTATTATCTATATTACTATCTATTAATTTTAATTAATAAAATCAAAAAAAAAAAAAATCACAAATGAAAAAATGGTGTTAATTAAAAAAAAAAAAAATTATTAAAAATAAAAATCATTTTTAAATATACTTTTTTTGACTTTTTATATCTCCAAAAAGTGTGTGTGTTGGTGTGTTTTGACTTTAAAGTCTATTTATATTTATAATTTATTAATGAAAAAAAATAAAAAAAAACTTATGCTTTTTATACACAAAAAATAAATAAAAAAAAAAGAAAAAAAAATTAAAAAAAATCAATATATAATAGATTTTTTCCTCAAAAAAAAAAATCATTGCATATAAGCATTTTTAAAAAACCAAAAAAATTTTTTTATTAATAATCATTTTTTTTAATTTTTTTTTTTTTTTTTGATTTTTTAAAAATATCACAATTGATGTCTTTTGGTATTAAAGAAAATAAAATTGGTTTGAGAATCTTTAAGGAAAAATGTGTATGAAAGACCTTGGTTCTATGCTAAAGTTAAAAACTAAAAAAATTTTTTTTGGTAATACTTCAATATTTAGGGTAATTTTTAATAAAAAAAAGATAAATTTTCTCAGAATATTATATAAAACCAATTTTATTTTGTTTTTTTTTTTTGAATTGTGAATTTGGTGCAAAGGGGTATTTAAAATTGGTATTGGTGATGTAAGAGCCTGTTGATTGTTGTTAATTTTTTTTTTTTTTTTTTATAAGTTAATACCCAAAAACTAACTAAAAAAAAAAAGAAAAATTAGATAATATATCACATCATAAAATTGACATTTATTTTAATAAATGGTTTTAAAAAAAAAATTCATATGAAAATTTCATATGAATTTTTTTTTTCTTTTTTTTTTCTTTTTTTTATTTATAAAAAAAATCCTTATTTTTTTTTTTTAGTAAAAAACCATTACACTAAAAAACAGTGATGTCACAAGAAAATATTTGTAAATATATATAAAAAGATTTTATTTGATTTTAATTTAAAAAAAAATATTTTAATATTTATTAAAAAAATAATTATTATTATATCATATTATTATATCATATTATTATATTATTAAATTATTATTGTATTATTATATTATTATTATATTTATTAAATTAATAATAATGATAAAATTATTAAAGAAACTATAGTAAAGAAATTGAAAATTAATTTTGAGCTATCATCAGAGTCAGCTGGTGGTTCAACTTTAGCACGTACAGTAATTTTATCAACATAAATTGGTGATTGATCTTCTTCGGCTTTAAACCAAATTCCGTCGTATTGTTGACCTGCTGGAAGATCATCTAATGGGAGAGTGATATGGTTCCATTTATTTGATTCGATTGGACCTCCGCATTTGTCATCAATGTACCAAGTCTTTTCTACAGTATTTGTTTTATCTTGATTTAAATGTAATAGTTCTACTTTAATTCTTTGATTACCACCACTTCCACCATGAACCCAAAACTCTATTTGTTTATGAAGATCTGATTCTATACAACCCCAGCACATAAAATGAAGTGATTTATCTTTCTTTGGAACAAATTTGATCGAGTAATTACCTTCACAAGCAATAACTTCAGTGCTATTTAAAACTGGTTGGGAGCTGCTCCAATTATCTGACCAATGTGTAAGCTTATCGTTATAGATATCAAAGGTATCAGAAACCATTCCAATTTTACCTTTAGCCAATCTATCCATATGTTTCTTGAAACCAACACCAAAACCTGATGGATCACCAGCTTCATTAACAATAACAGATGGACCATCACATGGACCTACTAACCATGACCAGGCTAAATAATGGATACCTTTATGGTCACAATAATTTAAAAAGTCGTCAAGGAAGTCATGTTTGCAATCTTTTTGACCAGTTTCAGTGGCGATAATTGGCATATTGTTAAGAACTGGTGTAAGGAATTTATCCCAACAACCCTTTGCCTTACATTGGTTAAAGTCATAAGCGTGTAATGAAGCAGCAAGCTGTGGTGGACTAAGAGTATCTTTTGGATAGTAGTCAAGGAACTTGGTGAATGATGTAGCATATTGAATACCACTTAAAAGTACAATGTTTTTAGCTCCAGTTGATCTAACAGCTTCAAGTAATTGACTTAAACCAGTTGTGGGATAATCTAAACCACAGTTTTCACCATCTCTCCAACAGGCCCATGCTTCATCAGATTCCCACTCGTTTCCAAATGGATATGGTTCATTATAGAGATCAAAGATGACATTAGAGAAATCTTTAAACATATTTGCTACTTGTTTCCAAAACTTGGCACTATTCTCAGCATTTGGCATTGGTATTTGATCAGTTGCTAATAATCCATTCTTGGAGCTCCAGTGGAGATCTATAATTACTGCCATATTTAAATCTGAAAGCATCTTGACATAACCTTTAATTTTATCTCTATAACCTTCACCAAACCATGGTGCTTCATTTTGATGGACACCTAACCAACAATCTTCATTTAATGGAACTCTAATTGTATTGACCTTCCAGCTTCTAATTAAAATTGTTTCCCTGTCATTAGCCAAACCGTCAAACGCTTTTTGATGTTTTACACAGGTATACTCTGTACCGGGACGATTGACACCTCTTAGCATAATAACTTCATCATTTTCATTATAAATCTTTAAATCCTCTTTAATATGTAACCCTTTGGTTGACTGTTCTTTACAATAAATAAAATTAAATAGTGTTGTACTGATTATAAATATTATTAATAAATAATTTATTTTCATTTTTTTTTTTTTAAATTATTTGTTTTTTTAAAAAAAAATAAATTAAATTAAATTAATAAATTTATTTATTTATATATCTAATCTTTAAAATATCTATTTTTAAAGAAATATAAATTTATTTTATGTTAGTTTATTTTTATTTGATATTTTTATTAAAAAAAAATTAATGAAAAAAGGATAAATTAAAACAAAATAAACTAAAACAAAATTAAATAAACAATAGTATTTATATATGTATGTGTATGTGTATTAGTTATTATGAATGAATAATTTATTTGATAAAGAATTTGTTATTTTTTAAAAAAAATTAAAAAATTATTTAAATAATTCGATTATTAAATATTATATTAACAATACTATTTTTTATTAATTTTAGTATTAAATATATATAAGAGAGTGATTATTATTAAAAATAATTGTTTTTTTGATTTTGTTTTTTTGATTTAATTATTTATTAAAATAAAAATAAAAAAATAAAATACAATTTTAAAATTTTAAAAATACAAATTTAAATTAAATAAAAAAAATATTATATTAAAACTTTTATTAAAAAAAAAACAAATATTGAATTACAAAATACTAAAGTTGGTAGTTAAACTTTGCTACGCTATCAAACTATTTATTATGATATTATTATTATTAAATTATATTATTTTATATGTATTAATATTCGATGTACTTTTTTTTATACAAAAATGAAAAAAAGAAATTAAAGAAAAAAGGAAATAATGTTATCTACAAGATAATTAATAATGATTATTATTTAATTATTTATAAAAAAACATTTCAAAAAAAAAAAACTAAAATAAAAACTAAATAAAAAAAATAATATGAAAAAAAAAAAAATCATATAGTTAAACCACAACTACTTTATTTTCTTGTGAGTGTGTGATATACTATTTATATGGTGTTTAAAATAGAATTAAAACCCATTATTTAATTATTTATACCTACATTAAAAAAAATATTGATTTCAATTTAGTTTAAAATAATTTTTGTTAAGTCCTAAAAACAAAATCTTTTTAATATATATATACTTTATTTATTTATATTATATATATATATAAATTATAATTATTATAATAGTGATACAAAGAAAACAATATTTATATTGTTATAAAAAGTAATATTATATAATGGCAATGTTATTATTAAATTAAACACACTAACGGGGATTTGAAAAAGAGAAGAAAGAAAAAAATTAAAAAAAAACATAAAAAAAAAAAAAAAAAGAAAAAAAAAAACAAAAAAGTATATACTTATACTTTTTAATTAAATCTTTTGAGTGTTATGTTTTAAATAATAAATATTTTATAATTATCGAATAAATAAAAAATAAATGGTTACATAACAAATTTGTGTGTTGGTATTACAAAACATTTAATATCTTTAAAAAGGGAATGTATTATGTGTGTGTATGTTCAATAAATAGTAAATATAAAAATAACAATAATTAAAACTTTTAACAAATTCTTTTTATAAACTATTTATTAATTTTTTTTTCACCTTTAATGTATTGTGGGTTAAGAATATTTATTTAATAAAAAACATGGTTTTAATAAATTTTACCCACAACTTAATAATGAGGATTAAAAAATATTTATATATAAAAAGAACGAGTGGTTATATAAAAAAAAGAAAAAAAATATTTTTTTGGGGGTTAACTTTTTTACTAAATCCTAAAAATGTGGGGTTTGGTGTGTGTTTGAATGTGTGTATATGCTCTTTGTCCAAATATATTTTTTTCATGTTCCATATAAAAAATAAGTTGTCATGTAAATTATAATTATTATTATTTTTATTATTTTGTTATTATAAATTTTGATTTATATTTTATTTAAAATAAAAAACAACTAAATAGTTATTAGTAAAAATAAAATAGTAGATATAGTTTTTGTATTTTCATTGTTTGAAAATTATTATAGACAAAAAAATGATACTATTTTTTATTTGATGATGATAATGAGCGAGAAAAAAATAATTATAAAATGTAAAAATACTATTATCATTAAAAGATAAATCTAAACTTTTGATATGACATGTGTTAAATCTAAAACATATGCGTAGATTATGTACTATTTTTTTTTTTTGTTTTTTTATATTTATAATAAAAGTTTGTAAAAAAAGAATGCGAATGCTGATATTTTTTTTCAATGGAAATTTTATTTTATTTAAATTTTTATTACAACGCATTAAATTATTAAAGAATTTGCATTGGTGGTTGGAGAAATTGTTATTTAATGTATGATTATAATTTCTACTCTTTTGTTTTTATGATTATTGGTAATTAAGTTTATATTTTTATTTTTATTGTTGGTATAATTACTATTGGATTGAAAAAAAAAAAGAAATTGGGAGAATACAAAAAAAAAAAGAATTAAAAAAAAAAAAAAAAATTATATGATTGATTTTGTGAAAATATAATTTAGTATTATATTATATTAAGTAGTGAATGTCTATAAATCTAAAATTAATTATTAAATGTCACTATTTTAAAATTATTATTATTATTATTATTATTATTATTATTATTATTATTATTATTATTATTATTATTATTATTATTATTATTATTATTATTAAAAATTAGAATAATCTAAAATCAAATGTATCTTGAATTTGACTAACTGCTGTCCAAATACACTCTTCTTGATTTCTGACATATTCAGATCTTAGGAAAAGGAAAAAGAATAATAATGAAGCAAAATCGAAAATTTGAATCAAGTCAACATAACTAAAGATATACATTGGACAACCACCTAAAATATAAAAGTTTAATATTAATGTTTATTTTTAGTAATAAAAAAAATTATAAAGTTTCTTACCTGGAAGATATTTAGCCCACACAAAAAGTGGTAAATAATTACTTAGATTAAAAATTGCACCTAAAATTAAAAATGCTCTACTCTTTTTAGTTGGTCCTTCTCTTGATAATGAAAATGCTATTATAAATACCAAAACTATAATTGGGATATGTTGTAAAATGAAAAAACCCAATAAAACATAATAAAAAGTTGTATCTTCTTTGCTGTAATGATAATAGAATATTAGTAATCCTTTATAATTTGTTATCTCTTATTCTAAAACTAAATATGATTACTTACTCTACTTCGAGATAAAGGAAAACTAAAAAACAAACAAAACATATTAAAAAGAAAATCTCAAGAGGTGTAATATGTTTTTTTAAAGTTGCTGTGAATTTTGATGAGTGTCTATTCTCTTGTTGAATTTGTTGTAATAAAAGGGGTTCATGTTCTCTATGGGTATTTTGTTGTGAGGTTGATCTGTATCTTCTTTGGTGGTTCAATGCTAAACTTAATGCCAATGCTGTAAATCCATGCAACGTTAAACTTGCAATAAAAAATACCTCCTCTACCTGTTGTTCCTGTGTTTTATCCATAGCATATCTGATTGTATTTGAGGCACCTCTTAAACCCAATGCTAAATAATAAACAATCCACAATGTATTCGATATAGTTTGAGTTCTAATCTTTTTATTGAAAACATCTACACTATTATACTTGAATGCGATTATTATTGCAAATATAAAACATGATAGCGCCAAACATGCAAAAATTAATGATATTGATGGATAGCTGAAATATTCATTAATCTTTAAACCTGATGGACACTCTGGAACGTTGATTTTTAAAAACTCTCCCATCTTTTTTTTTAATTTTCCCTATATTAGTTGTTGTTATTCTATTTTATTATTTTTAAAAAAAAAATAAAAAAAAAATAAAAAAAAAAGATATTTTTTGAATAGTTGTATCTTTGCTATTTTTTAATTTTAATCTTTTTCTTCTCTTCTTTATTTCTATATTTAAAAATTTTAAATTAATATTTATAATCTCTATTTATTATAAAATAATATATAAAAGAAAATAAAATAAGTGGATGTGTTTGTTGTGTGAAAAATTTTAAAAAATTTAAAATAATAAAAAAAAAAAAAATAAAATAAAAAAAAAAAAAGATAAATTCTTTTTATGTGCGTGTGAAATTTACTATTAGTTTTATTATATTATTTTATGGTTATGTTATAACAACAACAATTAAGTTTTTCTTTGTGGTTGTGAGTATTTTTGATTGATCGAATGAAAAAAAAAAAAAAATAAAAAAAAGAAAATAAAAAATTTTGAAAAAAAAAAAATAAAAAAAAAAAAATAAAATTTTAAAATTTCTTTTTTAACCACAAAAACAATAACCTTAAGGGGTTTTTATTTAAACAAAAAAAAAAAAAGGTAGATAAAATGTAATATTTACAATAAATATTTATAGTTATATTTGTTTTAAAAATATAAAAAATAAAAAACTATTTAAAAATGAATCAAAAAAAAAATAAAAAAATAAAAAAAATAAAAAAAAATAAAAAAAATAATTTAAAAAAAAATAAAAAATAAAAAAAAATAAAAAAAAATATTTTTAAATATATGGATAAAATAAAGCATTTTATGTCAAATTATATCCTATGAATGAATGAAATAACAATGGATACAAATAGAGGCATAATTAATTTGTATTATAGCAAAAGCTAAAAAAAAATAAAAAAAAAAAAAAAACAAAAAAAAATGGACTTGAAGATTTTATTTTTTCAAAAGATAATTTTATATAAATTTTATTTTCAATAATAAAATTTAATAAAACAATAATTACCAAAAAAAAAAAAGAAAAGAAAATAAAGAAAAAAAAAAACAATTGAAACATTTTATAACATTTGGTATGTTTATATTTTACACTACATTTTATTGTGTATAAGGAAAATACGTTTTTTATTAATTTTAATTTATTTTTTTAAAAATTATTTTATTTTGTTTTTTTTTTTTATTTAATTTTATTTTTTTTAAAACTTTTTTTTTCAAATCTTTTTTTTTTTATTTTTTAAAAGTTTTCGTAAAAATCATTCGATATATACCAGAGTTACCAGTATTAGTAAAAGGGGGAGCATTGAAGTAATAATCAAATAATTATTTCTTTCATTTATATTTTCATTTATATATATTTAATAATAAAAAAATTCACACACCCCATTAAAAAAATAAATAAAAATAACCTTTGTTTTGTTTGTTTTTTTTTTTTTTTTTTTTTAATTTCAACTTGTAAATATCAATAAAAAACAATATAGCTTATATATATATATATAGAAATGTACACAAATTTGAATGATTCAGGGGATAATGTAGTTTTAGAAAAAACTAATTATAGCGATAAAGCTACTTTATTAAAATCATCATATGATGACAATAACGCACCAGATAGCTCAATTGCATTAGAATTTGGAGCCAATACTAGCAGCACTCAAGGTGTTTATTATAGACATGTTAAACCAGAGCAACTTCGTCAAGTTTTGGAAACTTCACGTGTTGATGAGGAAGTTATGAGATCATCATCAAAGAAATCAAGAAAGTTTTATGAAAAACAAAATGAATTGATCGATCAAATTCTCGAACCAATTGAAGTCAAGGATAATGATGAAGAGGAGGTAGAAGATTTTAAAGTCAAGATTGCTATCAATGGTTCATTATTGGTTAATGTTGTATTGTTTGCTTTACAAATTACAGCTGCAATTCTTACAGGTTCAAAAGCTTTAATTGCTACATCAGTTGATGCTTTTATGGTATGTCACATAATATTATAGTTTACTAAAAGAGTTTACATATATTCTATAGAATATATATTAATTTTTACTATTTAATTATAATATTTAGGATTTATTAAGTGGTTTCATTTTATTCATGACAGCTCGTTATCGTAAGAAAAAGAATTTCTTCCTTTATCCAACTGGTAAAAGTCGTTATGAACCAATTGGTATTCTTATTTTTGCAGCACTCATGTCAACAGTTTCATTAAATCTTATTTGGGAAGGTGCATCAACATTAATTAAACAAGATAAAGACTTTGAACTTGATTTAATGTCAACTCTTTTTGTAGTTTTCGCTATTGGTTGTAAAATAGTTATGTTTATCTATTGTCGTCAATTAACTCATTCAAGCAGTGCTATGATCTTAGCAACTGATCATCGTAATGATATTACTGTAAATTCATTTGGTATTGGTATGGCTATTTTAGGTAAATATGTAAGATGGTGGTTAGATCCAATTGGTGCTTTAATTGTTGCTTTAATTATCTTACGTTCATGGGTTTCTGAAGCATATGAACAAATTGTAAGTTTATTTAACATGATAATAATTATAATTTTGTTTAAAATATAAAAAAACTAATGTTTATTTATTAAAAATTATAGGGTTTATTAGTTGGTAAATCAGCCTCACCAGAATTCCTTCAAAAACTCACTTATATTGCTGTTACTCATCACCCAGAAGTTCTTCAAGTTGATACATGTCGTGCCTTCCACGTTGGTAATAACCTCTATGTTGAAGTTGATATCGTTCTTCCACCAACCATGCCATTAGTTAAGACCCATGACATTGGTGAATCACTCCAAGAAAAACTCGAATCATTAGGTGAAGTCGATAGAGCATTTGTACATGTTGATTATGAATACAGACATAAACCAGAGCACAAAAAAGTTCATTAGGCCACTTTTACATAATTTATAAATAGTTTTTTTTAATATTTTAAAAATAAAACAAATCCAATTAATATATTTATTTTCACAATATAAGGTTTAGCCTAAATAAAAGTTTAATATTTTTTTTTTAAAATAAAATCTATACATTTTTATTTCTTTTTATTTTTATTAATAAAATATTGGATGGGTAATAAAAAAATTTAAATATATTGTCTTTTAACATTAATGGTGATTTCACCTCCAAAATAAAAATATTATACTTTCTATAAAAAAGAATATAAAAATTATATTTTTACAAGAAACTAAATTCTTCACTCGTGATGAAATTAAAAATTTAAATAATTTATTTGAAAAAACTGATTTTACTATCTTCTTTTCTTCAATTGAAGATATTTATAAAAATATTATTACAGCACTACAAAATCTAGAAATTCATTAAATAATGATGAATTATCTATAAATAAAGAATTATCACCAAAAGCACAATCAGGTGTTGCTACAATTATTCATAAAAATTTATTAAACAATTTAATCCATAATGTCAAAGATTCGCAAGGTAGACTATATTTTATCCCTTCAATTTGGATGGAATACACGAGTTTTATTTACGATAAAATCAAAATTGAGCCCATCTAAATATATACTATCTTCTTATATATTTTTATAGGACTTTCACCAAATAATGTTTATTCAAATAATATAAAGTAAAATAATTAACTTTCAGAAACAACCTTATTCACTAACAAAACTTAAAAGGAATTATTTCCCTTATCTAATAAAAAATAATTCATTGCTATTCTTTTATATTTTTACTTATTTATTTTATATTTAACCTAAATTAAATAATTACTAAAATTAATAAAAGTCACATAATTTTATTTTATTAATATTAATATAAGGGTAGTCTATTAACGTCGCAATTATCATTGAAATATTTAGATACACATGTGAATGAATGTTTTAATTGAATACATTTATAGCCTTCTAAGCATGAATAATGGTCACATTTAGTTGATATAATTGGTCCAGATGTTAGGGATGAGGATGTAGTTGAACTTGCTGATAAAGTGGATGAGATAATTGATGAAATTACAGTAGATGATATTGATGACCCAGTAATAGTTGGTAAGGCAGAGTCAGTTGTTGTAGCTGTTGAGGTTGTTGCTATTGTTGAAGGGTTGCTTGTATAAATTGTAGTCTGTAGTGTTGATGTTATTGTTGAGATAATTGTAGAGTAAATTGTAGAGGCCAGTGTTGTTGAGATATATTCGGTGGTTTCACCTGAATCTGGTGGATCTGTACAAATGGCTACTGTTAAACAAACACCATTTTCACAACGACCCAATAAACATGGATCACTTGTAGAACAATTTATAGGAGTCATAACACAAACATCAGGGTTATCAGCATGACACTCGACAGGTATACATGGATCAATTGTTACACATGAGTTTGTATCACTACATCGAGCACAGTTTGGAATATCCTGGTTAATACAGCCAACACTCGATGAGCATGAGTCACTTGTACATGGATTATTATCATTGCAGTCTACAGGAAAAGATTCACAACCTAAACCAGGGGTACAGAATTGATTCTTGCATACATCAGGGTATGTTTCTGAACAATTAAAATCCCTTGGTTCACAATTAAATTCATCATAGCAATAGTTTGCAATACAACTATTTTCATCTTCAAAACAGTTATAACCCATTTTACATGCACACTCGTCATTTCCTTCACAAATACCACACCTTTAATATTAATAGTAGTTAGTATTTTATTTTATCATAATTAAATTAAAAAAATAAAAACAAAACTTACTGGTCATAATAGACACAATCTAAAACTACAGTTGTTTTAAGGCTATATAAAATTTAAAAAAAAATTAATAAAATTAAAATTTAAAAAAAACATAATTATACATACTCAAACATATGAAAATTATCTCTTCTCTTTCTATTACAATTAATAATATCCAGAGTATGGGTATTCCATGGATCGGGTTGATCTATTAAGAATTCAGCAAACTGTACGTCGGTTATACCAATTGTTTCTATAACCTTTTTTTCATCTACATATACAATTAGATCATCTGAATGGACTATTGAAACTATACCGGGTTCAAATAATCGTGCTTGAACCTTTTCGTATCTAAACCAAACGCACCTATAAAATATAAACTAAGTTTTAATATAATTTAAATTATTTTTATCAATATCTTTTACTCACCATTTATAATTGTGATTATCCCCATCATTACCAAAACCTCTACCATCGAATGGAAAAAATTGATCAGGAGGATACTTACCTACAAAATAATCTTGAAGGATATTATAGGATACATTGGGACAGTTTGTACAGGTCCATTTGTCAAATGTAGTATCACTATTAACAATTATATGAGAACCCCCAAACTGGCTTATTAAAGGTTGATTACCAAAATTATATATAAGACCATGTGGTCCATTTTCATTATTATAATCCTCTGTAACATCAAAACCTTGATAGATTGCCCCATCTGGTATTGCATCCATATCAAAATCTGGATTTCTATCTGTTGTGGTATCAAACACAAATAGCTTTTCTATTTTTTTTTAAATTAAAGAAAAAAAATGATTTAGTTTATTTTAAATATTAATTTTAAATATTAAATTTAAATATTAAATTAACATACGTGAATGGACTATTTTCACCAAATACAGGACTAAAAGTATATAATTTTTAATTTTCATATTTTCTATAATCTTTTAAAATACTATGAAAATAAAAGAAATCTTGATATTAAATATGTTGAATAAAAAAAAAAAAAAAAAAAGAAAAAATAAATAAAATGTTTTTATCATTTTTTCCTTTCTTTTTTTTTTTTTTTACCAAATTATGTATTTACCCCACGCACACTTTCATTTACCCCATCTAAAAACTCAATGTGGTTTAAAAATAATACCCAAAAGCGCATTATAATACCCGAAATAATGAAAAACATATGAATATTTGTAAAAATTAAAATTAAAAAAAAAAAAATTAAATTAAATTAAATTAAATAATGATAAACACAACAATATTTTAAATTTAAAAAAAAAAAAAATTAAATTAAATTAAATTTTTTTTGTTGATTACTATTATTTGTTGTTTTAAATATGAGCAGTATACTACAATATAATTATGGTGCTGATTTAATTGTATTTAGGAATATAATGTATTAAAATAATTGAAATTTAAATGAAATGAAATTAATATTTAATTAACCAATTAACTAGAATTAAAAATATTTTTAAATTTTATTAATAATAAATAGCTTTTAGTGGGTTATTAATCTTTGAAAATATAAGATAATTCCATACGATTCTAATTCTTTTTTATTATTATTAATAGCACCCAAAGTTAAATTTTGTATCAATAATGATTTATTATCGTGATGTAAATTCACATTTTGAGTTCTTTAATAAAATCCAAATCAACTTGCTATTACGTTAAAAAAATGAACTAAAGACAGTAATCTCGATTCTCTTAAGTGACGGCCATCAAAATCTCAAAGAGTTCTGCTACCTTTTCAATAGTTTAAATTACATAATCAAGGTGTTACAAGATTGGGATAACAAATTAATATTTATTGAAATTTACGAATATATGAATAAAAACCAAAGCTCACTTATCAACGATGAAAACTACTCCACCCTTTCAAATAGCTTAGCAAATAAAGAAGATGAAGACTACTCTGCATTCTCTGTCATGATTTCAGATTACAAACAGCAGTTATTAAAATCTTTAAAAAAGAAACTTGTTAAAGATTTGTTTATAAATTTCATTTCGAAGATTGGTAGCTATTTAAAAAGAGGCACTTTTTCAAATCAAATTATCATTATTATAATCAGTACTGGCAGTGGCAGCAGTATCTCCTCCTATTCAAAAAATATATTAAGCTTTTCAAAATTCAATAAACAAAAATCGAAACTATTTAATGACCAACCATCAAACAAACAACAAAATAAAGGTAAAAAAAATGAATTTTATTTAATCATCACTGTTTAAATATTGTTTTAGAATATAAATTGTACCAATTGCAATATTATCGGTACCTTTAAAAAACATATCCATAACTTGGTCGCCTCTTAATTTCTCTTGTTCATTTTTGCTATTAATTGGATAAACTACTTCGATTGATTCTTCTTTATTTTTTTTTAAATGTGTCTGTCTTTTAATATCATTATTGTTATTGTTTGTATTATCTCCTTTAAGATTATTAAATAGGTCGTATTCAGTTGATATTCCGTCCATTATTTTAACCATAAGTGATTTTGATACCCATGCGCCTATTTGTACCTCTTCTTCTTGAAGTTTGAGATTAACTGGTGATTTTTCATTGTTATTGCCGTTGTTGTTATTTAATTTTACACTTATAAAAATTACAATATGATGATCTCCAGGTAGTTTATCGTGGGCTAATAAAATAGGATATGAGCTTTCGAAAATACCAATTACTTTTAATGAGTCTAGATCTACCATTGATTTATCAATACCAACTTCTTCTTCCAATTCTCTAAGACCAGTTTCAAATATGGTTTCACTTTGTTCCATATGACCTCCAGGTAGTACCCAAACACCAGGAAAAATTCTTAGAGTCTCTGCTCTTTTTGTAATTAAAATTCTTTGATTATCGCTGTCTTCAACTAAAACCCCAACACCGACTTTAACTGGTGGATATAATTGTTTTTCAATTTGTAAATCTTTATGAATAATTGAATTGGATATTTCTAATTCGTGAAATGGACAGCTTTTGGCATGTGCTATTATAACTTTTTGGTCTAGTTTCTTCTTTATCTTGTTAACATCGCTTTCGTAACTATTATCTCTACTGTAAGAGTAAATATCTTTATCATAGTTTTGACTTGTTGGTGATAATATTAATTTGCCGTTTTCGCTATCTAATTCTATATGTGCATATCCTATTGATTTAGAATTTGTGTCTATGCCCAACTTTGTTAATGTACACTTGTTCCACTCTATTGGTAAAACATCACCTTGCTTTTTAAAATAAACTGAGGGCCAAAATACTTTTTTAATTCCTTCCATATTGTTATCAATTAAACTATTACTATTACTAAAACTGCTATAATCAAAACTATCTATTATCTTTTTTTTTACAAAGCTATTGCTATCTATATCGTTATTATCGTTGTTATTATCGTTATCGTTTTTATTATTAATATTGTTATGATAATATTTTTTATGATACTGTTGATTATTTTTAAAATTAAAATTTATTTTTTTTAACAATATTAAATTTATTAAAGAAAAAAGAAATAACAGAATTAATATGTTTTTTAAAAGTTTCTTTTTAGTAGTAGTATTATTATTATTATTATTATTATTATTTGTGTTGTTATAGGTGTTAATAGTACTGCTTTTATTTTCTGTAAAGGTAATCATATTAATTTGATTTTAATTTATATTAAACCAATACATGCAAAATTATAAAAAAATGAAAAAAAAAAAAAAAAAAATTATTTTTAAAAATTTAAAATTTTTTTTTTACATTATAAAAAGACAAAACATTTTTTTCAGATAAAACTAAAATTGTAAGATTTTCTTACAAATGGAGGCATAAAAGATGGGTTCAATAAAGGTAGATGGAAGGAAGAAATATTTTAAAAAGACCATCTGGAATTTCAACAAATTTTTGGGGTTGCGTTATGAAGAAAATAACATTAACGTACAATTTATTCCGCCCTATTCACCAGATTTGAAAATATAATAGAAAGCTTATGGTCAATCTTAAAAAGACGTTAATCCAACGTCATATTACCACCTCATGAACCTTTCAATGAATCATTTCATATGCTTTTCTTCCTTCATGAGCTATTTGAATACCCATACGTGGACCAAAGATTTTGCAAAAATCTATAACTCTTTTTAATTGCTCCTTTTGTCCATCCTTCCATAATCCACTATCACTATAGCTGATTCTTCCTTCTGGTGAGGTTGCTGTTGCTTTTAAAATAATTAAACCAGCTCCTCCTTTGCTATATATTAATAATTAGTAAAAATTAGTGATTAAAAATTATCGTTATCGTTTATCTTTTTTGGACCATCTGGAAGATTTTATAAAAAACGATAAAAATGGATAATCAAAAATAAAAAAACAATAATTCGACTTTTTTGTATTGGTTGAGGTTTTTATTAATTAAAAAAGAAAATAATATGATATTATATTTTTAGATTAATGGTAATGTACGAAATAAAGAGACCAACCTGCTAATATAAGCATCAACATAAGTGAAAAATAGCACCATAATATTAGATTTATCAATATGGTTTTGTGAAGGTTTTTGAAAAGGAAAATAAAAATATTATAATTAATAAAATTCAAAATTTAAAAAAAAAAAAATTTTAAAAAAAGCGCTCATTGCAACCATAATTAAAAAAAAAAGTTAAAAATTTTAAAGAAATTTAAAAAAAAATTAAATTTATAAAATTAAATAAATTTTTTTTTTTTTTTTTTTTTTTTTTTTTCATTCAGCTATCATACCAATTTGATTATCATATAATGAACTACCAAATTCTTACTTTATTCCTTTCTACAAAACATTATAAAATTAATTATAATAAAATAATATAAAGGGAAAAATGAATTCTTTAAAAGGAAGATGTGTTTAATTTATTTGAAAAATAAAAAATTTTGAAAAAAAAAAAAACCTCCCCTGTTTCAAATTATTACCAATTTTGATTGTAGCAAATCTACATTTTTTTTTGTAATACAAATTTTACTTATTTTGGAATTGATGTTTTAAATAAATTAGGAAATGGTTATAGATTAATTAATTAATTAATTTTAAATTAAATTTTTTTTTTTTTTTATTTTTATTAAAAAAACTAAAAAGTATTTAAAGAAAATAATTTCATAAAATTTATTTTTTTCATTATACACATTCAGGTAAATTCAAATTAAAAAAAAAAAAAAAAAAAAAAAAAAAAAAAAAAAAAAAAAAAATTTAATTTATAAAAAAAAAAAACACACTACACTTCACTTCACACTATTATCAATATGGTTAATTATGTATCCTGCGTGGTGGGATACATAATTAACCACAAAAAAAAAAAACACACACTACACTTCACTTCACACTATTATCAATATGGTGGTTAATTATGTATTCTGCGTGGTGGGATACATAATTAACCATTCGGCTCTAATATACTAACCTCCCCGTGGTAGAGCTGGAAACACTCTTTACAAAGAGTGGCCAATAGTATAAAAATATTATCAAAAAATATCAAGGATTTTTAGCATTAAAACTATTGAGGATTTTTAGCATTAAAGCTATCGAAGATTTTTTAGCATAAAGACATATAAAAGATTTTTTAGCTTTAAAGTATTGTGTAATATTAAAAATATATCAAATATTTTGGAAAATGCAGTGTGATATTAAAAAAAAATATCAAATATTAAGGAAAATCATTAGAATATAACAAGTACTATAGATCATACAAATATCAAAACTATTATTTAGCATAAAAAATATCAAATAATATGGATCATACAAATATCGAGTATTATTTAGCATTTAAAAAATATCAAATAATATGGATCATACAAAAATATCAAGTATTATTTACCATTTAAAATATATCAAGTAATATTTAGCATTTAAAATATCATATATTTATTTAGCATTTAAACATATCAAGTTTTATTAGAGGTTGAAAATTATCTTTATCCGGATTATAATTAAAAACTAAAAAAAATAAATAAATAAAATGTTAAAAAAAATTAAAAAAAATTAAAAGAAAGGCGGAAAAGAGAAAAATTGTGATGGGTGTGTTTGTGCTGTTATTTTACATCCATTTGCAAATTTTAAATCGATAAAAAGAATAATTTTTTTTAAAAAAATAGATAACTTTTAAAAAAATTTTAAATGGATAAAAAGAATAGTTTTTTTTAAAAAAAAGAGATAACTTTTAAAAAAAATTTTAAATGAATAAGCTAACGGGTAAAAACTGAGAATAAAGATAATTTTTAATCTCTAATATTAAAAAATACTTATTTTAGATTAATTGAATTACATTATAATAAATCTTTAATAAGAAAACCCATTAAAATAAAAAAATAAAAAAGTTTGGAAATATATATTTTTTATATGTACTAGTATATAGAATAAAAATTACAAAATAATAATAAAAATAGATGTGTTAATTGAAAATAAAAAATATTTTATTTTATGTAGTTTTACTTTAAATGAATGTTTCATTTAATATGATGCTTAAAGGTGAACATTAAGTTGATCAATGGCTAATAATGGGTCAAGGTTGACATTAGCAGTAACATCTAATAAGGCAACATTATTTGAACCAGTTGAGGTGGTGGTGTTTGATGCTGTTAATTGGACCTTTGAGGAATTGGATTTTAAGTTGATTGATTGTAATGATTCTGTAAAAAAATATTAAGCATTAGTTATTTATAATTTATATATTGTTTTTTAAAAAAAAATATAATATCTTACTGAATAACATTTTAAGATTTTTTTTTGTTTTTGATATAAATTTTTTTTTTTTTTTTTTAATTTATACTTTTTTTATTTTTTATATTTTTTTTTTAAAATAATAAATTTATTTCATTTATATAAATTTAGAAAAATTGTAAATTTTAAAGTTTAATATAATATTTGTATTTTGGTTTATTTTGTTTATAAAATAGGAAATGGGGAAATTGAGTATTGGGTTATATTAATTTCTATTTATTCTATTACCCAAAAATTGTAAAACCCCCAATACTTTTTTTATTTATTTTTTTGTAAAATGATGTATTAGTTTTTTTTTTTAAAATTTTTTCTAAAAAAAGTAAAGAAAATAAAAAAGAAAAATAAAAGATAAAAAAGGTAATGTTTGAAATAAATTTTTTTTTTAGTTTGATAAAAAATAAAAATATTTTTATTTTAAATTGTTTGATTTTATTACAATAAGTAGTTTTATAATAAATAGTTTGATTTTATTTTTAGATATGAGCATTAACTTTGGCATCAGCATATAATAAAGGAGTTGCATTAATTACTGCACAGATATCAGCATCTAATAAAGAGACTTTGTTACCACTAAATTGATTGGATTGAGCATTGCTTTCATATTTAGTATTTTGGTTGCTTTGAGCAGAGGAAAGGAAAGATAATGATTCTATATTAATTAATATAAAAAAAAATATTAGTTAAAATTCATTTTAGTTTTTAAAAAAATAAAAAATTTAAAACTTGCTGAATAACATTTTATTTTTTGCGCTTTTTTTAATTTGATTAATATTTTAAATTTTTAATTTTAATTTATAGTTTTTTTATAATTTTTAATTTAAATTTTAATTAATAGTTTTTTTATAATTTTAAATATAATCTTAAATTAAATTAATAGAATTATAAATTATAATAATTTTTTAATAAGAAAACCCAATAAAATAAAAAAATAAAAGAGTTTGGAAAATATATATATATTTTTTTTTTGTACTAGTATATAGAATAAAAATTACAAATTAATTTTTATTATTTATTTAATAATAAATATTTTTATGTTGTATACACAAAAGCTTAAAATATAAACTTTTGATTGGTATATAGTCAGTAATGACTATCAACTTTTACATCACATTTAAAGGTGGGCATCAACATCAGTATGGACATATAATAATCCTGGGATAAGTACAACAGCACATACATCAAGATCTAATAAGGCAACATTGTTTGATCCGGTGGAGGTAGTGTTAGCAGAGGTGGCTAATTGGGTTTTTGAGGTGGTAGATTTGAAGTTGATTGATTGTAATGATTCTATATATAGTTTAATGGGAAATATTAATATTAATGGGAAACATTTGTTAGTTTTAGAGTTTTAGAATTTTTTTTTAAAATACTACATACTGAATAACATTTTTATAAGTTTAATTTATTGATACAATTGTTTTTGTTGAATTAATGATTTTAAAAAAAAATTATTTGTTCTTTTTATAGTCTTTTTTTTTATTATTATTTTTAATTAAAACTTTATAAAAGCTTCATTTTAGTACCAAAATCTAAATCATTTTTATAATATTTATTATAATTAATTATAAACGTTTTTTATATATTCTATTTGTGGGGCGATTATCTCGACTTTATCTTTATATTGAAAATTGTTATTAATGTCATGATGATAGATTTCATTATTACAATTTATTTATCTTTTAAACACATTTAGAAATATTCAAATAAAAAAAGATAAAAATAAACATTCTTATTCTTGAATTATTGTAATTAAAAACTAATCTAACATAAACTCAATACTAATAAAACAAATCAACAAATCAATCAGTTAGACTTAAATGGTTATATTGAGAAAAAAATTTAAAATTATACTATAATATTATGTTTTATTTACCCCTATTTTTGAAATTTTAAAAATTATATTTTTTAATTAATATAATTTCTTTATAATAAAAAAGAATAATATCTAATAATAGTTTGTGTGTTGTTTAAAAATAGATTTTTTATAAAAATTTTTTTTTTTTTAATATTAGATTATCTATTAAACTTAATAGATATTATATTTTTTTTAATAGATATAAACAATATATTCTCCTCAAGGAAACTTAAATTAAAATATTTTTGATCAAAATGATAATCAGTTTTTTTTTTAATTAAAAAAAAAAAAAAAAAAAAAAAAAAAAAAAAAAAAAAAAAAAATTTTTTTTTTTAAAAAAAAATTTCTCAAAAAAAATTTTTTATTTTAAAAAAAAAAAAAAAAAAAAAATTAAATAAAATTTAAGTGTCACCTGCGTAATGATTGTCAATTTCACACCAAAAAAAAAAATTAAATTTAAAAAAAAATGCTTTTTTTTAATTTATTTTTTTATTTTTAATTTTAATTTTTGAATTTATTTCTCATAGATACCCACACAACAATAGATTATATATAATATAAGAAATGTCAATTAATTTAGTACATCCATCATCAAAAGGTTACCATGATGTCAAAACTACAAACTCCTATGTCAAGGGAAGACCACAAGTACCACAAGAATGTATCGAATTTGTAAAAAACAATAAGCTATTCAATTTAAATGATAACTCCAAAGTATTAGATTTGGCCAGCGGAACTGGTAAATTCACAGAGTTATTAGCAAAGTCAAACTTCAAAGATATTACTGCAGTCGAACCAAGCAAAGAATTCAGAGACTCATGTTCCGAAATTTTACAAAAACTCAAAGACACTGACAAACCAGATCTCAGTTTCCAAGTTTTAGATGGTATTTCCACATCAATTCCAGCTGCTGATGAATCTGTAGATGTCCTTTTTGTTTCTCAAGCTTTTCATTGGGTAAATTTATTTTAAAAAAAGAATATATTATACATTAATATATAAATTCTAATTTTTTATTATATTTTTATAGTTTAGGTAATTGGATAAATCAAGATTATAGATTAAAAAAAGTAAATAATAAATATTAATCATAAATATTTTATATACTTTCAGCAATACAGATTCACTAAAAGAATTTTCACGTATATTAAAACCAAATGGAACTTTGATTATGATTTGGTATGATATGGATTTAAGCAGTGATGTTGTTAATAAATATGCCGATGTTGTACATGAAAAATGGTATGATGGTCTTGCTCCCCAATTCAGATCATATAAATGGAAAAAAGCTTTGGAAGACTTCAAGCCAATCTTTGAACAAGCTGGTGGTAAAGGATTAATCGACCCAAATCTTCAAATGGAAAAATTCCACTTTAACCAAAAGGCCAACAAACAAGTTTGTATCGAGCGTGCTCTTAGTATAAGCTATATCTCCCATCTCAAACAAGAAACCAAAGATCAAATTATTAAAGAGGTCAGTGAAGTATTAGATAACCACCCAGATAGCTCCGATAATAAGACCTTTGACTTCCCATATAGAGTCGAACTTTACTATACTCAAAAGAAATAAACAATTGTGATAAAAAAAATAAAAATTAAAAAAGATATATATCTTTTTTTCTTTATTTGTTTAAAAAAAACTTATTTAAATTTTTTTATTTATTTTTTTTAAAAAAATTTAATCTCTTTAAAGGTGGACACTAGCATCTACTACTGGGTCTATAATGGTAAATGATAAAATTGTTAGATTTTGTAAATGGGTTAAATATCCAAATATTACATTAAATTTAAAACTTACTAATATCTATAGAAATATCAATTAATTGGATACCATTTCTTCCATAGGCTGATGATGAGTTGGTAGTAGTAGTTTGAGCGTTTTTAGAGCTTGATGATTGGACGATGTTTTGGATTGATTCTAGTAGTTTTATTGAAAATTTAGATTTAAGTAAATATTATTTATTTTTTCTGTATTAAATAAACAAATACGTACTGAATAACATTTTTACTTGGGTATTAATATAATTGTAATATTATAAATTAATATATGTTTTGATTTGATGAAAAAAAGAAAATATATTTCTTTTATAGTTTTTTTTTTATTTAACAAAATATATAAAAAAAAAATATATCATAAAAAAATTACAAGATATATTTTAAATTCATTACAAAAGAATCTATATATGGATAATTAAAAATTTCTTATTCCAACACTACCTAGTATATGGCCAAACCAACAAAATCTTACCCAAATATAGATATCACAACCAATAAGATATATTTAAATTAATTTATTGGATATATTACTTTTGTAATGGTATAATTTATATTTTATTTGCTTCCACATTAGATTCTTTTGGTATTAAAAATCTAAAGACTTTATTTTTTAAATGTCCGTAATATCAACATAACAATAAACATTTTATCTTTTCTAAATAACAAAAATTAAAAAAAAAATTAAAAAACACCCACAAAAAATAATATCTATGTAGACCCCATTCTCGTTAAAATATATGTGAAATCTAACAAAAAAAAATGCAAATACAAAAATATTTTATATATAGATTTTAATCACAGTGTTTATTGTTTGATAATAAAACAATAGGTTTTAATTTTCTCCAAATAAGGTGATAACAATATTTTTAATTCAAAGATTTATTTTTTCACTACCTTCTATTTATAAACAAATAAAACAAAACTAAACAACGTTTACAATATTAAATTATTAATATAAAAAATAATTATTATAATTATTTTATGTTCTATATAAAGAAAAAAAAAAGTAATTTTTTTAAATTTTTTGATTTATTGATTTATTTATTGATTAATTTAATTTAAATAACCGATATGTCAAAAGACACAAAACCAATTAAACCTATATTGATCACCATTAATAAAAATATTATAACTATTGAATATAATTATTTATCTTTTAAAAAATGATTTCTTATTTTTTTTTTAATTATCTTCACCCCCACACTCGCACAACATACACTAAAAGATAAAAATGTTTTAAAAAATAAAAGATAAAAAACAATATATTAATATATATTATTTATTTTTAGTTTGAATAAACTTTTGATTTTATAATGCATACATTAAATTATTTTATTTTTTTAATTTTTAAAAATAAAAAAAAAAAAATTTTTAGATTTAGTCTTGACTGCAGAAATATAATACTACTACAAAACTGATTCTTTGGGTAGATGAAGATTCAAAGTTTAAGGTTTCTTTTTTTGAAGATACTGTTACATTTTTATTATCAGATTTGATATTGTTAATTGATTGTAAATTTTCTGTAAAATTGAAAAAAATGAAAAAATTAATATTAAAATTAATAATTTATTATTTTTTATAAAACTATATCCATAATTTAATAAATAATTGAAAAAAAAAAAAAAAGAGGACATACTGAAAATCATTTTAAATCTAATTCTTTTAAAAAATAATATTACACAATTTGAAATTTAGCTTTATAAATAATTATTTAATATTAATGAAAAAATTTAATTAAACAATTAAAATAAAAAATAATAATTTATAAATGAATTGTTTTTTTTCTATTTATATTTTTTTTTTTATTCGTCCAATTGTTTTACAATTTTTTTTTAAACAATATAATATAAATTTATATAAATTATAATATAATTTATTTTATTATGGTTACAAAAGATTTATCTAGATGTGATAAAATACACAAAAGGAATTATTAGAAAATTAAATTATCGGTTTTTTTTTTTAGTATGTACACATATTAATAAATTTGTACACATGGGGTTAGTGTATTAATTATATCTACTATAAAAGGTATTTTTTATTAGTTTATTAAAAAACTTAAAATAAGGTTATATTTAAAATAACTTTAGTTTTTTTTCTTTAATTATTATTTAAGTAACTGTTAAAATAATTATTTTTTCCTGTTTATTTTTTTTATTGCTCTAAGTATCTATATTTTGATTTGTTTAAAATCTTTTTTAATGGTAGCAAAAATTAGGAGTTGTAAAAGTGGTTGTATAAAATCTACATTTACACTACCATTAAATGTAAACAACTTTTTTTTTCAATGTAAATTTAACCCATTATAATAAAAGTTGATTATATTATGTAAATTTAAAATGTAGATTAAATTTTTTAAATCATTTGGTTTTTGTTGATGTTATAATTTTTTTTTCCCTTTAAAAATTTAAAAAATCCTATTGTGTAAATTAAATTTAATCCCAACTATAACCATTATTATTAAATTTATTTTTTACATATATTAAACTATTTAGTTTATATTTCTATTTTTTTTTTTAACTTTTTATTTTATTTTATTTTGTTTTATTTTATTTTGTTTGTAATATTTAAAATGATGGAATACCAGTGATGGCTCTACCTAAAATTAAAGCGTGAATATCATGAGTACCTTCATAAGTATTAACAGTTTCTAAATTAGCGGCATGACGAATAACGTGATATTCATCAGCAATACCATTACCACCTAACATATCTCTTGATTGACGAGCAATATCTAATGATTTACCACATGAATTACGTTTGATTAATGAAATTCTTTCTGGGGTGGCTTTACCTGCATCTATTAAACGACCAACTTGATAACAAGCTTGTAAACCTAATGAAATTTCAGTGGCCATATCAGCGAGTTTCTTTTGATATAATTGGTTAGCGGCTAATGGTCTACCAAATTGTTTACGATCGAGACCATATTGACGAGCAGTTGTATAACAAAATTCGGCAGCACCTAAACTACCCCAACCAATACCATAACGAGCTTTATTTAAACATGAGAATGGACCTCTTAAACCTTTAATATCTGGGAACATATGAGAAGCTGGAACTTCAACATCCTCCATAACAATCATACCAGTGATTGAAGCACGGAGTGATAATTTGCCTTCAATTTTTGGAGCAGATAAACCCTTCATACCTTTTTCTAAAACGAAACCACGAATATCGTTATTATCATCTTTAGCCCAAATGACGAATACATCAGCAATTGGTGAATTGGTAATCCAAGTTTTAGTACCGTTTAAAACGTAATTACCAGCGGTATTCTTTTTAGCACGAGTTTGCATACCAGCTGGATCTGAACCTGCATTTGGTTCGGTTAAACCAAAACAACCAACTAAATCACCGCTAGCTAAACCATCGAGATATTTTTGTTTTTGAGCTTCGGTACCAAATGTGTAAATTGGATGCATAACTAATGATGATTGAACACTCATAGCTGAACGATAACCACTATCTACTTTTTCGACTGCATTAGCCATTAAACCATATGCAACGTGTGAAACACCACCATATGCTGGAATAGTGGCACCTAACATACCCATTTTACCATATTCTCTCATAATTTCTCTATCGAATTTTTCATCTCTATAGGCCATTTGAATACGTGGCATTAAATTATCTTGACAAAATTTATCGACTTGATCTCTAATCATTTTTTCTTCGTCTGTTAAATTCATTTCTAAATTTAATGGATCATTCCATTGAAACTTGTCACCTGCAACAATTGTACCATAGTTTCTATTAATAACATTCTTTAAATTACCTATATATTTATGAAAAATTTTAAAACTATTAATAAAAAAATTTCATTTTATAAATTATCTTTTTTTTTTTTTTTTTAATTTATTTTTTTCATATTATTTTTTTTATTTTTTTTATTTTTTTTTTGATCATCATTCCACTTTATATTACTATAATTATTTATTTTGTGGCTTTGTTCTTTTAATGACATACCTTTAGTAATAAAGTTTTTAGTAAAATTTTTTAACATCATATTTTATTTGTTTAGTTATGATAACTTTAACGATAATAATGAAATTTAAAAAAAAAAAAAAAACAATAATTTTTTAAAAAAATAAAATAAAAATAAAAAAATAAAAAAAAAATTAAAAAAAAATATAGATTTTTTTTTTTTTTTTTTTTTTTTTTTTTTTTTATTTCTTCTAAATAATAATGATAAATTATTAAATTAAAAGGATAGTTGCACATTTAATTATATACTAATAATAATAGTTTAATATTTTTCTGAAAATTAATATCTATTTAACACACCACCCACTTTTAAATCAAATCAAAAAAAATTAAAAAAATTAAAATAAAATAAATAAAAGATAAAGATAAATTTGGTTTTTTTAAAAAATATTAAAATTATATATTTTGATATATGTATATATAATTTTAAATAATATATATTATTTATTACATTTTATTTTTATTAAAAAAAAACAATATCATTAAATTTTTAATATTAAATTTCCCCAAGTTGTTGGCCCAACATTGCCATTTAATTAGAAAAAAAAAAGTGAAAAAAAAAAAAAAAAAAGTTTGATCTCGTGAAATATTAATTATTCAAAGCTAACTCGAAGGATATATATAATGAAATTAGCAAAGAATAGAATTAATATTCATAGATTTGCTTTTTTTCATTCCAGCTGATGGCTCGGTATCAAAACCTTCACTTTGTTTTTTGTTATTTTTTTCTTGTTCTTGATCTTCTTGTTGAATTTCTTCAATTTGAATATTATTATTACCATCACCTTTATTATTTACTTTTTCATCAAAGTCTGGAATACTATTGGCCAAAGCAGTTAATGATTCAGTTGATTTTAATCTTTTGAGAGTATGAAGTTGTTTTGAAATATCTTCTTTATCTTCAAGATCGACTTCTTTACTATTAATTTTATTTAATAATAACTTTGGTGAAGTTGATGGTGATGGTAATGGTGATGATGATGATGAAGTTGAATTATAATTATTTTTATTATTGTTATTATTTGAACTATCTGAAAAAACAGCAGCTACGGCTAAATCATTTATTGTTTCAGTTGATTTTCTTTTCTTTGAATTTACGAGGCTATTTAATCCTTGTGAAGCTGCGTTGATATTGTTTAATGAATGGATGTTGGTTGATCTTGGTGAATTAGCATTTGAGTTTGAAGTTGAATTTGAGGACTGTACAGTTATAGTTGATGATGATACTGGCGATAAATCTTCATCATCTGAAACGACACCTGATTCGTATTGGTCGACATCATAATCTTCATCGACGAGACTATTAAAGTCATCATATGATTGACTATGAGATGGTGAAGAGTTTGGTGAACCTCTACTACTTCCGGTATCGAGATTTCTATTGGCCATTGGTGAATCTTTGAAAACTGGTGTATTGGTTTGTGGGTAAAATAAATCAATTTTTAATAAACCTCTTTCTTTGAGATAACCAATGGCAGAGAACATAATTGTGATATGGGAAAGATTTGGAATTGGATCTTTGGACCACCTTAAGAATGTAACCAAGAAGGAGCTTCTTTCAAAGTTTGTAAAATGAACAAAGAGACCACAAGTTTTCCAAATGAGCTCTTTGCAGAATGGTGAAAGTTTTTGAAGGTAAGGAGACCAGCTTTGTAAGAGTGATAATTGTTGGAAAACTGATGGAAGCTCGGTGGACCATACGGTGGCATTCTTTTGACTATAAGATAAAGGTGGTTGTGGTGGTGATGAGTTTTGAAGTTGATTTATTAATAATTGAGATTGTTGTTGTTGTTGTTGAAGTAATTGTTGTAATTGAATTTGTTGTTGTTGTTGTTGGAAATTAAAGAGTGGTTGTTGGTGACGAAGTTGTTGGATTTGTAATTGTTGTTGTAATTGAAATTGTTGTTGTTGTTTTAAAATCTCAATGTTTTGGTATGGATTTATGTTTGAAAGTGATGGTGATTTTGGTAATCTATTTTGTTGTTGTTGTTGTTGTAATTGTTGTATTTGGTGTAATTGATTTATATTAAATTGTTGTTGTTGTTTATGGAGTGGATTTTGTGTATGGAATGATTGTTGTGATGATTGTTGTTGTAAAACACCAAAAGTAGACTCCAAGTTTGGTAAATGAGATTTTGGAATTCTAAAACTGGTAATAGGGGCACTAATACCTGGAATCGAGAAAGCACTTGGTACTGGTGGAAAATCTAAAAATATATTTGGGTATTGATATTGAGCTTGGGTGAATGCAGTAAAGTAGGTTTCTATATCCATCAAGTCTACTGATTTCTCGTCTAACCAAGAGCTAATAACTGGAGAGAATAAAAGGTCGCATGGTCTTTGTGGTTGGGCTAATAATTGAAAGATATTACCCCAAATAATTCTACGGGCAGCTGCTTGATATCTATCCACAATACCGGCATATTGTTTTAAAATATTTAATAAATTGGCATAAAATGTTACAGATTCATATCTTTTGAAGGTTGGACTATAAAAAGTGGTCTCTATATTAGCTTCTTGATTTAATTGTTGTGCTGGAGCAATACCATGATGTGGTTCCATCATTTTACCAATCATTATTAATACTGATATGAAAAGAGTGAAAGCTAAGGAAAAAAAATGTGGAAGAGCTAACTATAAAAAAATACTATTTAATTTTTTTTAACCTTTTGTTTTGTTGCTAAATTGCAAGTTTTTTTTTTTTTTAAAAACTAATTTAAAAAAAAAATTCAAATAAATAAATAATTAAAAAAAAAAAAAAAAAAAAAAAAAAAGTGTAAAAAACTATTAATGATTTTAATTAGTATTAATTTAAATTTTGAATATAAATAAATAAAAAAAAACCAACAATTTGATTGAAATGTTTTATTATTTTTTTACAAAAGGAAAATACAATAAAACTATTAATATAAATTGATGATGTGTGTATATGCAAAAGATTATTTAAAAGATTTAAGATATTAAAAAAAATTTTAAAGACAATAATTATAGCGGGTGTGTTTATTTTTATTATTTTTTTTTGTAGTGGTGTGATAATTTAAACAATTAAAAAAGTAATTTAAAAAATGTTTTATAAAAAAAAAAATAAAAAATAAGAATAAAAAAATGACAAAATAAAAAAAAAAATAAAAAAAATAAAAAAAGATGGGAGGTGGTAAAAATGATTTTTTGGGGGAATTTTGAAAATTAAAAGAAATTTGGAAAATATGGATTGAAATGAAAATAAATTAATGGGATGATTGCCAAATTTGGCAATACTTGATGTAAAGTTTGTTCACACGCAATGTGTAGTGGAAAAAATAAATAAATAGAAGAGATTGAGATGTGATTGTAAAATACGAGATTGAAAAGAAACATAAAAATAATAAAACACCCCCAACTAAATTAAATTTACTTTTAATCTTTTAAATAAAAGAGAAAAAAGATGTTTTTTTTTGGATAGGAAAAAGAAAAATAAAATAAAATAAACATTATAATATAAATCAGTCACATACCTTTTTTTTCTTTTTCTTTTTTTTTTTGAGCTATATAGATGATATTATTAATTAAATTAAATATATATAAAGTATATATATTTATTTAGTATTATGTTTTTTTTTTTTATTATTATTGAGAATCTATAAAAAATATAATTGGAATGAATTACTATTTAAAAAAAAAAAAAAAAACGAAATTTTTTTGATATTATCTTTAATTGATGTTGTATATTTTAAATTAATTAAATTGATTATTGGTTATTATTATTATTATTATTATTATTATTAAATATTTGAATTGTTAAATAATTTATAATAAAGAGAAGTTATATTTTATGTGATAAATAATTAAATAAATAAATAAATAAATAAATTAGGGTATATATAAATGTTTCGATATAGTGATCTGTGTATAATATTATTATATTGTTATAGTTATTATTAATAAATATTTTATTTCTATAAAAAATTCCTGTGTAGATATGATTACTGAGCTTTGCTATTTTTTTTCAAAAAAAAAATATTTAAAAAATTTTGAAAATAAAAATTTTAAAATATTTTAAAAAATAAAAAATAAAAAAAAAATGTTAGAAAAAATCTTTTTTTTAAAATAATTTTAAAAAAAATAAAATTTAAAAAAAATATCTTGGGATAAAATCAAGTAGTAGCGTCGAAGAATTCTGAGCAAAAATTATAAAATAAAATAAAATTTTTAAAAAAACTGGTAAAAAAAAAAAGAAAAAAAAAGTAGTGATATAATTTTAAAAATAATATCAACTGATTTTAAATTTAATTGGGTAATAAATATTGATGTTAGGTGTGTGTGTGTGTGTGTGTTTATTTGTTTATCTGTGCTGTGTGTGTTATTCATACATGTGTGTGGTTTTTTTTGAAATTGATTTCTAATTTTTTATTTTTTATTTTTTTTGATTTAACAATTTTTTGTTTTTAAAATATTAAAATTATTTTATTTTATTATAAAATTGTTGATTGAAATTTTTGTTCCAATAGGAATATAAATTAAATTATTGAATTATTAAAATATTAATTTTTAAAATAAATTGAAAAAAAATAAATAAAAAAAAAAAATGTAGAAAAAGTGTAAAAAAAAAAAAAAAATATCACAGTATAAAGATATTTAAATATAATATTTACAACAAATATCTGTTAAATTGAATCTCTCTATGGTTTTGATATATAGGAAAAAATAAATAATTGATTTAAAAAAAAATGAAAAATGAAAAATGGTTAAAAATTTAAAAAATATAATAAATGATATTTTTGAATATTTGTTATTGATTATTTTATATTTTATTATAAAAAAAAAACTACACAAAATGTATAATCAAAAACTCTGTGTGAAGAAAAAAATAAAAAAATTTTCAAATCACACCCAATCGTTTGAATTAACAATAATAGAAAGGGGGCTGGGATTCAAAATAGTGTGGGCACAAAAAAAAAAAAAAAAAAGAAAAAGTTGGTGAAATGTTGGTTGGAAAATTTTTTTTTTTTACAAAACCAAGACAGAGCATTCTTTGCAGTTTTGTTTGTAAAAACTATAATATTATTTTGTATTATTATAAATGCGGTGTGTGTCGGTAATATTAAAGGAAAAAATAAGGTGAAATGATTTTCACCCAAAAAATTATAATTACTATTGAAATTATTATTATTATTATTATTATAATTATAATTATAATTATTATTATTATTATTATTATTTATTGAAAATATTACAATTACTATTAAACTACTATTTATATTTTTTTTTTTTTTTTTAAAATTATTATTACATACAGTATATTATTAGATCTTTGATATATTAAAAAAAAAAATATGAATATATTCAAAAAAAAAAAAATTATGTTATATTATATTATATTGTGTAAAACGAAATTTTTAAATTACCACTGAAAAAAAAAAAAAAAAAACACTTTTTATTTTATTTACTTTATATATTGGAAGATAGGAAAAAAAAAATAAAAATTAATTTTGGAGGGAAAAAACCCACAGATATTTGGAGGATTTTTTTTTTATAAATAATAAAATTAATAAATTTTTAAAAAAAATAAATTTTTTGATAAATACTTTTTCCGACCTTAAGGTGCGGCCACAGCGGGATGAAAAAAATAAATGGGGTATAAACCACACAAAAACTTTTTTT